AGAAAGGAGGGAGAAGAAAAGGGAGGAAAAAGGGAGAAAAAGGGGAAAAAAAGGAAAACAAGGGATAAAAAAAAGAAAAGAAAACAAGAAAAAAAAAGTTAAAAGAGTATATTTTAATTCAGGTAATCTTAAAGCTTCTATTTTAATTTCCAGTACACCATAAAGTGTMTATGAAGTACACCATGAAGTATATTTAAAGTATATATAAAGATGTATAAATTACACTACAAAGTATGTATGCTGATATACCCATACATCTTAATAGAAGATTGATATTGAATTGTCCAGTAATACCACTCATCCTTACTGTGGAGAGAATAAAGCACCCATCAAACACTGGCTAACAGTAACACAGTGGGAMAATAGAATAAATTAAATATCACAGAATAGATAATATACAATTACTCTTTAAGTATCACAGGATCACTGAATCCCAGAATGGGTTGGGTTGAAAGGGACCTTAAAGATGTCCCTGTTCCACCCCTTCCACACCCCCCAATCCTGCAATCCCCTAATTTAGCACCCCTTGAACTCAGGGGTGACCGTGCAGGGCTCTCCCAACACCCAGCAGAGGAAACCAAGCACAAACACAGGCACAAAGTGCTGGGCAAGTTCAACACTTGAACTATTCTTTTTAAAGAATTTTTTCAAAACCTGAACTATTCTTTTTAAACCGGCTCATGTCACTACCTGGACTTGTCACCACGAATAACTTTGACCTTTCAGCTCTCACTTTTGAGAGACTCCACCCCCTCTCTGAAGGCTGTTCTGTGCACAATCAGGATTTTCCTGCCTCTCTCCAGCCCTGCTGAGCTGCTCACCTGTAGTAGCTGAGCACGTCCCGATCCTCCTTCTGCCCCTCCTTGGCGTCCTGTGCCAGCTCACGGATGCTCTTGCTGCGGATCTCCTTGTTGCTGTCCCTCCAGAACAGCCACACTTCCTCCTCATCTTCTCCCACGTCCAGGGCGTTCTCTCCACTTGACACCTCTTCAAATTCGAACCGGGAGAGGACCAGCCTGCCAGGAGGAGGRGGGGTTACATCCCAGGAACCACAAACATCCTTCACAATTCCTTTTAGACCCTTGCTAAAATATATCTTACCCTTTCAGTGGGAGAATTTCACTACAGCAAATAATTTGGTTTATTATAAAAAGCATTAAATTCTAAGCTTTCCATTCAAGCTTAAAAAGATGAACATTTCAGCTTCTTTCAATTGGAAAACATAAAGAAACAAGGATGTTAAAGACGTAATAATGGACTTTCAAAATCTTATTCACAGAAGAAGTGAGTCAAAGATCATTCAGCAGATCAGGAAAAGATGTGGGCAAATAAAATATCTAAAAAAAATTAACAATTCTGTATGCCATAAATGCCAAATAGATCAGAACCTCTTTCTGCTTATGTGATAAAGTAACTAGAAATTAATCAGCTGCTGATATAAAAAGGTTTCCAGCAAAGAAATGATCACACGTCTGAAAAAAACCCCAAATTAAATGCATTAAATACGTGGATAAGGACAAATAAATGATGTACCAATTTTAAGTGCTGGTGGAAATAAGTACAGCTTTCATGATCTCATGATGAGAATTAAATGGGCAAGAACACTTAAATAGTCACAGTTTTAAATACTACCTGCCTCCCTTTTGCAGYATTTTGATAATAGTTATCTATTCTTTAGTATATGTATTGAATAAAGCCATTTTCATCAAAAACAGTCAGGATTTGGTGCCTGCTCTGAGCCCTCAGCAATGGCAGAGGAGAGCTGGAGACCCAAACCCCCCTCAGTTAGAGGGAGAAAAGGTGAGCAGAGCTGGGCCAGGTGAGCTCCCTGGAGCTGGGGGAGGATCAGGAGCTGCACACCCTCCTGTGAGCTCAGAACAAACAGAGGGATCTGAAGGATTTGTGCCTGCAGGGCTGAGGATGCACCTGGCACACACCTGCCATCCCCAGCCCTGTGTTTGAAAAGGATCCCACACAATCCCTGCTCAGCTCTGAGCCACCTTTCCTTGTGCTTCACACCAGCAGAGCCATCCTGAAAGGCACGGACTCACTTGGTTTCAATGAGAATGTCTGCATTGGCTGGGTTGAGCACGGCTTTGCAAATCAGCTCCTGCGTCACGGGAATAGACTTGTTCATGGAAACGCACAGATCCGAGAGGTAATCCAAAAACCTGGTGGGAAACRGGAGCCAAGAGGGTATCAATCACTGCTCAGATCCACGCTGAARCCATCCACATTTCAGCAAGAAGACATTCAGAGCTCTGCTGGAATGGTGAGGAGTGAGACTCGCTGCCCGAGGGGACGGCAGAATGCAGCCAGCTGGCTGTGCTCCTCCTGAACAGACTGCCAGGTACAGCCTGCTCCCACAAGGAGAAGGGCAATAGCACATCCTGAAAGGCAGCTCTCACCTGGGCTCCCTATTTTTCCTCACGAGACTCACGAAGGTGTCAATCTCAGCAGCTGTGATGTGCTTCTCCAGGAGCTTGCGGTTGTTGTGGAGCAGGGCTGTGATGGTGTCCTCGGCCAAAACGTCGTAGCCAATCTGCTTCTGCATGAAGCCAAACTGCTTGGCGATGTATTCCTTCAAAACACACAGGCAAGGAGAAAGGGGGGKTAATTAATGCTCAGAATTTAAAATAATTACAGAAAACAGGGGGGTGTTTGTCAATAGCAATGTCCCAAGGAGTGAAATGGGTTAGATCCAAATGGTTTGTGTGAAAGAAAGCAAACAATGACAACAACCTTAACACCTCCAGCTCTCCCATCTCTCCTGGGCTAGACACTAGGAATTTACACTTATCTGACAGGACCTTGTTTTTAATACATAGCAACAAAAACTGAACAGCCTTAATTTACAGGGCAGCTTTCAATGGAGTCTGTAGYAAGCAAGAGTGAACMAAGTCTTGACATTCACCTSGATGGGACAGTTGGAAATMCCACTTAGAACCAGTTCTTAAATCYCACTTAGAACCAGTGCTCATTAMATTATAGCTTCTGACAGAGATGAAAAATGCCAGAATGAAACKGAGCCATCCCAAAAGCTCTTGGTGACTGTAAATGCAGGGTTTCCTTAACAGGATAAATCTTTTTATTTTGAGCACAGGAACCATGCTGGTGCCACAGAGATGTATTTCCAACCTGATTTTTCCTGTAGTCCTGCTGGGAGTGCCTGAGCACCCTGTAGCAGAGCCTGCAGATGTGCCTGAAGGGTGCATGGCGTTGGTCCCCCAGCTCCTCCAGCCGCAGCATCGGCCCGTCCCCGCTGTCTGTGAADGGGGCTTGCAGCAGCTTGAAAATCTACAGATTTGTTAAAAAACAGAGACAAGACCCCATGAGGCACTGGCT